TTGAAATCTCATAAACACAATATCTCCGATATAAATGAACTTCAAGCTACATTAGACAGTAAAGCCGACAAGAACCATACACATAAATCCTTCACTACTGTTAGAGCAGACGACATAATATTGAACTATACCCTTGGTTCAAGTGCACCTTTAGAGAATCCAAGTACAAACGTAAAAGATACACTAAACTCCTTAAATAGTAAATGTATGAACATTGAAGGTCATGCCAGAAACTTTGAAACACATGAACTACCAGCAATGTTAGATAAAAAAGCAGATAAAGAACATACACATAAAATCCTTCACTACTGTTAGAGCAGACGACATAATATTGAACTATGATTTGGGTTCAAGTGCACCTTTAGAGAATCCGAGTACAAGCGTAAAAGATACTCTTAACAATTTAGATAACAGTTGCAGGAATATCGAAGGTCATGCCAGAAACTTTGAAGCATATGAACTACCAGCAATGTTAGATAAGAAAGCAGACAAAACAGAGCTTCAAACATTAAAGACTGAAATACTTCAAACATTATATCCTGTTGGTTCTATTTATACGTCAATGAACTCAACAAATCCAGAAACAGTTTTAGGTTTTGGTACGTGGAAGCAGATTGTAGATAAATTCTTATACTGTGCTAGATATTCAAAGCAAACAGGAGGTTCGAAGAAAATTAAAGAAGCAAACCTTCCACCGCACACTCATACAGGAACTACAAACACAACAGGTAGTCATTCACATTCAATAACAAAAAGAGGTTATACAAATCTTGCAGCAGGTTCGGATAGACAGGGAATGCATAGATATGATATTTCAAGTGACCCAGTAGATTCAAGCGCAGGTATTTTCTGTGGAACCACAGGAAATCATTCACACACTTTCACAACAAATCCAACAGGCTCGGGTGCAGATTATATGCCACCATTTGTGACTATATTCGCATGGTACCGCGTTCAATGAACGCGCTTGAGCCTAGAATAAAATCTTTAACTTTACATAAATGAGCTTGAAAGAAGTATTCGAACAACATCCATGGAGGTCATTTAAGAAGTTCAATGAAGCTGCAAAGAGTTGGGGATTTACTAACAGAGCTGAAGTGAAAAGGTTCTTTGACAAAAATGTTGTACATCAAACAAAAATAAACCCTTACGACTACTTTTTACCAATTTACTCCAACACTCCTGACGCATACCAATTTGACACTCTCATTCAAAGCAGAAAAGGAGGACATAAACCATTCCTCATCTTCATTAATGTTAACACTCGTAAAGCATATGCATATCCAATGAAAAATAAAGGAACTCGTGAAGTGTTAAGAGTTTTACAAAAGTTTGTAGCAGAACATAGCCCAAGTACTTTAACATCAGACCAAGACAGGAGTGGGGGACAAACTCGCCCATTGTCACTTTTCATTAACCTTAAACTTGTAATTTTCATTATTTTCTGAAATTACCTTTAAAAGTACTAAGTAAGATCATGAGATATAGCAATATATGTTTAAACCAACTTATATTTTGGTTGTACACCACTTGTATGTGCCGGATACCATTGTGTCAAATTTTTTCTGAAATTAACTTTAAAAGTACTAAGTAAGATCATGAGATATAGCAATATATGTTTAAACCAACTTATATTTTGGTTGTACACCACTTGTATGTGCCGGATACCATTGTGTCAAATTTTTTCTGAAATTAACTTTAAAAGTACTAAGTAAGATCATGAGATATAGCAATATATGTTTAAACCAACTTATATTTTGGTTGTACACCACTTGTATGTGCCGGATACCATTGTGTCAAATTTTTTCTGAAATTAACTTTAAAAGTACTAAGTAAGATCATGAGATATAGCAATATATGTTTAAACCAACTTATATTTTGGTTGTACACCACTTGTATGTGCCGGATACCATTGTGTCAAATTTTTTCTGAAATTAACTTTAAAAGTACTAAGTAAGATCATTTATTTTTGCATAATATAATGCCAATATGGTTTCTTTTGATTTTATTTCATTTATAAGCAAATCAGATTTACACAAAAACTCCACTCCATAAGCGTTCATTTGCTAAATTAAAAAGTGACAATGGGCTAGTCTGTCCCTTTCTCACCAAGACAGTGCATACCTCAGCAATGAAATCACAGATTTTCTCATTAAGCATAACATAACTCACTACACTACTGAAGACCATAACCATAACATACTCGGCATCATAAACCGCTTCATAAGAACGCTCAGAGATTTAAACCAAGAACGAGACTTTACCGAAGAAACAATGAAACATTTTCTCGAAGTATATAATTGAAACAATAAGAATTACCGAAAAAGTGACAAAACATCAAAAACAGGGAGGGGGTCTCAATTTATTACTTATATTATTTTACAAATATTTATATAAATACTCTTTATAATATATTTTACTATAAAATTATACCTCAAATTCAAATATTTAAAATATTATTACATAATTATCTCAAAATTATATTTTTATATATTATTTTTCATATGTATAAATCATATAATCTATATCTATGCAAATCTCATCTAAATTTTTTTGAAACAAACCGCTACCATTTTATAATGGTCCATCTTAAATTCATCATAAATTCTGGTACATGTTAGTACCAGAGTCTTCAAATCTCAAACACTCTGGTACCAACATGTACCAGACGCGAGTTTCCAATGCCCTCGTACTACGATTTTCTATTAAGATCTTCTTGAATGAGAAGGTCTTCATAGAAACTCGTACGAGGGCTTCTCTTTTAAATACTCTGGTACCTGCTGGTATCGGAGTCGACTTTACAGCCCTTTCCCCAATTTTGAAGCTGGGGAAAGTTTTCAAGCAATGAAAGGGAAGCTCTCGCTATGAGGTGAAAATCTAGAATTTTTTACCTCATAGCGAGTAATCCTTGTTAATTGCTTGAAAACTTTCTTTCAAATTATCAAAATTTCGAGGAAAGTTTCCTTGCTTCAAAGTAGAGATGGAGCCCTTTGAGCCACTGCATATAGGTCAGTGACTCAAATACTCCATCTCTACTAGAAATCGCCAAAATTTGGGTCGCAATCTTTGAATGCGACGCAAGTTTTGGCAATTTCGCGAGGGACTTGCTCCATTTGGTGCATAGATTCACACTCTATGCACCAGATGGAACAATTCTTTCGCTGACAGCGGGAAACTTTGTCTGAATAGTTTAACATTCAGACAAAGTTTCCCGCTGTCAGAGAGGAGGGAATGGAAGGGTAAGAGGTATATATTCATAATGTATACCTCTTACCCTTTCATTCCCTCGAGAAAGTTCAAAAACTTGGGTGCAATCAGTTCTGATTGCACCCAAGTTTTTGAACTTTGTATAAGGAATTGTTGGCTATGATGCACTGATCATGAATCAGTACATCATAGCCAACAATTCTTTCGCTGACAGCGGGAAACTTTGTCTGAATGGTTTAACATTCAGACAAAGTTTCCCGCTGTCAGAGAGGGAATGGAAGGGTAAGAGGTATATATTCATAATGTATACCTCTTACTCTTCCATTCCCTCAAGAAAGTTCAAAAACTTGGGTGCAATCAGTTCTGATTGCACCCAAGTTTTTGAACTTTGTATAAGGAATTGTTGGCTATGATGTACTGATCATGAATCAGTACATCATAGCCAACAATTCCTTCGCAAACAGTGGGAAACTTTGTCTGAATAGTTTAACATTCAGACAAAGTTTCCCGCTGTCAGGGAGGGAATTAGAGGGTGGGAGATATATAGATAGACTATAAATCTCTCACCCTTTAATTCCCTCAAGAAAGTTCAAAAACTTGGGTGCAATCAGAACTGATTGCACCCAAGTTTTTGAATTTTGTATAAGGAATTGTTGGCTATGATGTACTGATCATGAATCAGTACATCATAGCCAACAATTCTACCTTTTAACCAAAGATAATTGATTCGTATGTAAAATATTAAGCTAAAATTTCTCTTTCTTTTAGTACACATTCTTCCATTTCGTGTACATGTATCATATATTAAGTACTAGTTATCTATTCTATATCCTTTATCCCAATTTAGATACTCAAAGATAATTCTTTTTCAGAAGAAAAAAAATATTTTCTATTAAACCGTTATTTTTTCAATGTGAGTTTTCAATTTTATTTTTCCTTTTTGCTGCTCAATGCAACATCCTCCACCCGATCCTCCATGCGAGGTTGATCAAGCCATAGGATATTTAGAATATTCTCGTTTTGTTATAGCTGCAGAGCTGCATGGTAACATAAGATTTGTCAAAGACCCACAAAAACTATCAATTGGAACAGGAGTATTAATCTACCACCGATGCGAATACGAAGGCTGCCCAGCAGGCTTTAAATTTATTAAAAATTTCGACAATTACATTTTTAAATCTGCAAACTTAACTCATATTCACTCAGGACCACCACCACAACATAAAAATACACCTACAAGTGGTACTTACCGTGCTTGGATTAAAAAATTTCTCATGAATCACGGAAGTCCACTTAATGCAACACAAGAAGTCAACAAAACGCTTGAAATACCTAAAGATCATACTTGTATTCACATGACTATGAAACAAACTGCAATCAATCAATTGAAATATTATTTACAACAAAAAGATCTTATGAGATCTTTACCAGACATATCTTTAAATCAATTTCAATCTTTACAAAACTATGTTAATCAATGGGAAGATCAACATGATGACCTTATTTATTTTGACATTCAAGGTGAAGATACTGATTTTCCAGACAAATTGGTTTTTATTTACTCTGATAATGATATGATCTCTCAAATTCATGAAAAACCACCAATTTATCACTTAGACTCTACGTTTAAATTAATTATTCATGGATTTCCTTTTTATGTATTAGCTACCAAATTTGCTAATACTCATTCTATCCCTTTGTGTTATTTTATAATATATCCAGATAATAGTGAAAATATTTCTTTTTGCTTAAGTAAATATTTTGAAACAACTCACACAGAACCTGAATTTATCATGTCTGACTGTGCACTAAACATTTTCAACGGGATTAGGAATTCATTTCCGGAGTGCAATATCTTTTGGTGCGCGCTACATGTAATACGCGCACTTAAAAAGAATCTCTCAAAGATAAATGATGAAGAGATTAGATCAGAAGTCGAAAAATTTATGAACATTTTATGTTATTATCGTGATTGCACAGAAGAAGATGCTGCAAAAATGTATAAAGAGCACATTATTGATAAAATTCAAGATCAATTGGAATTTAATCAATACTTTACACGTCAGTGGGACATTCATAAACAACAGTGGATAGCCGCTGCCAGACCAAATGAATTAACCGTTGTGAATAACGTTTCTGAATCTTTATTTAAAAAGATAAAATATCACAATTTTGGCTGCGTTAAAAATCAAAGAATTGATGTTTTTGTCAAAAATCTTTTAGAAGAAGTTGCACCCAATTACTTTTATCGTATTAAAAACGATTTACTTCAAACAGGTTTTATTCCTTCAATTAGAATTCGCGAGCCTCGATTGACAGATTATAAAACAAAATTGAAAAGAGAAGTTCAATCACGTTTATACCAAGTATTAAATTTTGTTCAGAATCAAGAAGCCAATTTGAATCCATTAAGATTTTTATTGGAAAATGCTGAAGAAAAACTTTCTCAAATAAATGAGAAGATACAAAATTCAATTACATATTTAAGATCGTTTGAAATTCCAAATGAATTGTTAGATACGTATATGTTAGAAATTAATGAATTTTGTTATAATTCTCCAGATTATATTTTAGAACATTTCGAAGAATTTTTGGAGGATTTCAAAGAAAAGAATAATTTAATAGACTAAAAAATTTATTATTTTTATTTATTGTGAATTTTAAATTGTCACTTTTTAAGTGTTACTCCCTATTGAAAGTGTCACTTTTTGGGTGTCACTTTTCGGAAATTCTTATATACTCCATAAGAACGCTCAGAGATTTAAACCAAGAGCGAGACTTTACCGAAGAAACAATGAAACATTTTCTCGAAGTATATAATTCCTCAACACATTCTACAACAGGGCATACACCAAATTCAATGACACAACAACAAGAAGAAAAGTATATACAAAAGAAACGAAGCCAAACACAAAATATCAGAAATTCAACACAATTTACCCTCATTCCTGGTACAAAAGTTCGTGTAGTTCTTGACGACAAACCGTTGACAAAGAAACGTTTAAGGTTAAGTAGAAACTATTATATCGTAGACTCTACGCAAGGTAATGGATATCTTATAAAAGCTGCTGACGACTCTTTTGCGTTTTACCCTCGACATAAATTAGTTGAAAGTAGTAATGGCAAACTTGCTGAAACCATTGACGAAGCAAAGCGAGGAGTGGTTATTGAAATACTTGGCTATAACATAAACGATGACACTTATAAAGTAAGATATGAAGGAGGCGTTGAAGATGTTATACCATCTAAGAACTTGAGAGAGTCATAGTCAACACATCTGGGACCATTAGAGCAGGAGTACTGGAAAGACAAAAATAAGCCAGAAAGAATAAGAAAATTCTTCTAAACTTTTTCATTAGATGTAAATCAGACATGAATGAGAACAGTCATGTATTATTAATGGTACCATTTATTTTAACATAAAGACGCAAAGCGGCGAGGACGAAGTCCATGACCAAAAATATAATTTAGGTGAAGAGGTGAGATTTCACCTCTTTTTTCACCTGTTTTTTCACCCTCGTGAATTTTCATGAATTTCCTTAAGATAGAAAAATAAAGTTAGTTTTATTTTTATTTATTTTTTTATTTTGTATAAAAGATATGATTTCAACAATCGGCACAACAACAATTCAAACAACTACAGCACCAAACTCGCTAGTCATGAATCCTACGTCAATGTTGGTAGAGATGAAAAGCTTTATTCCTTCTTCATATACTTTTGAAACAGAAATCCAGAAGATAAAGCAAGAACTTTTAACAAGTAATTTAGACTGTAGTGCGAAAGATGAAACAAATGAACAGTATCTTTATGAAATGGAGGACCTCATCGACCATTTGCCTAAACTACCTGAAATTCAGCAGCAAAAACTAACTATTCCTGAATTCGACGAAATTGAAGTCAAAGCAACTGACTCAGTAGAAATTAAGAAATTCATACGTAAAGTAAATTATGAATTCCTTGGTTTTCATTGCAACCATAAAGTTATGGACAAAGATTGCGACATGGTTTATAAAAATATTTCTGACCTTTACAAATCCGAAGAATTTAAGACATACGATAACTTTGTTTCATTAGTTGCAAAATGTGTATGGCAGATAAGAGATAAAGATAGAAGAGGTAAGGTATGGAATGAACAGATAAAACCAGCAGCTTTTGAGTTAAAGAAAACCATTGACGCTTTAGTTATTTTAGCTGGTAATGTTTCAATGTATAACGCAAAAACGATGCCGCAATGTTCAAAATGTAAAGCAGCAATAAGAAAATATAACTACTCAGTCAAAGAGATAGAAAGAATGCGAAACGACTATGCAGACTTAAAGAAAGAAGCAGAAAAGCCAGCAGAAGATAAAATGGATATGTTGACATTTCTTAATAAAAACTATCCAACAGCAGAAGATTTCCTTCTGTCTGACGTCAAGGAGAAGTATAAAGAAACCTTCGGCATTGTTAAAACATTCGATGTACTAAAAGAAGAAATAGAAGCTACGAAATTGTTTAGGATTTCAAATATACATCGTACAATTCATGTAAAACGCTTGTGAAAAAAGAGGTGAAAAAAGACGTGAAAAAACAGGTGAAATCTCACCTCTTCACCTCAATTATATTTTTATTGAATTCAGCAACAAAAATAATGAATTTCATTAGTTATTTTGTATGTAAAGACAGTAATGACAAACATTGAGTTTGAAACAGTTAGAAAGATAGACAATGACACCAAAGTGGTTAGAATAGGTGATTTAAACGTAAGATACTCAAAGTAATACAACAAATATTCTTTGTCAGACATTATATCTCCATCTGGAAAGAAAACAAACGACTGGGTTAGAAATGCTTCAACTCAGAAAATTTTGACAAGAAATCCTGAGCTTATGATATCAGTAGCATTTCATGGAACAAGAGCGTATCTTATAGACAAAAGTCTTATACCAATAGTTTTGTTATGGTTAGACCCAGTTGTTGGATATAACTTCATAACATATGGTTCATTCGATACGGAACGTTGCAGTGAAGGCTTACTTTACATCGTTCAGAAACCGAAGGACTTCAACACAAAAAGATATAAGATAGGAAGGACATATAATATAACTCAAAGATATGACAGTACAGTCAATAGAGTCAAGGTTGTGTTTGTTAATGATATGAGAGCTGCTGAAACAGAACTGCTTGAAGTTTTTGAGAAAATGTATGGTGCTCCCACGAAAGGTAAAGAAACGTTTGAAGTAGATGAGATAGATAAAGCTATAAAATTATTTGACGAAGTTGCTGAAAAATACATGTAAAGCGTTTATTTTTGGTCTTTTGTGAAAGTCAGAAAATAAAGTTAGTTTTATTTTTATTTATTTTTTTATTTTGTATGTAAAGACAGTAATGACAACATCAGAGAACACAACAACAGTTATAGTCCATGAAGCTATAAATGAAGAATACGAATACATACAATATAACAAACAACTTCGCCTCATTCGTTCGGTCAAAGATGACATGTACCAAATGCAAAGTATAATGAACGCTCTTCGTTCTACAAAGCAAGCATATCATTGGTTTGAAAACCAACAGACAAAAGAACTTTTAGAAGAATTTCCTCATATGATTGCTTCCCTCGGAAAACCGAGAGAAGAGATTCCGTATGAAAATCGCAAGAATTTGGCTCCTGGTTTGAAAGGTTATTATGTTCATAGACTTTTAGTAAACGCTGTAGCAATATGGGCTTCACCTCGTTATGCTTGTTATATTTTCATGATGTTAGATGAACTATATAAAGCAGAACGTGAAGAGATGGAAATGAAACTTCAAGCAAAAGATGAAGTCATTGAATCCAAAGACAAAAGCATACAGAAAAGAATACCGCGTTCAGTACCAAAAGGAAAGGAAAAGAGTTATAAGTATATGATATATACTGAAGAGTTGGAGAAAGAAGAAGATAAAGATGTGGTTATGTTGCATTTAGTCAGAAGAAACAACAAGAGCTTTTATGACTTAGCTAAAATATATAAATCTGACAGAAACAGGTTCTATCGTGAAAACTTACCGATTTCAATGACACCGAATGAGCAAATAAAGGAAATTGGCAAAAATACTCTTCCTCAAACACACTATGACATCAAAGGTTGCACAATACTTACATTCAAAGAAGACTTAACATTACTGAAGGAAAAAATAACAGAATATTTCGATAACTTCAAAGAGGAAGAATAAAAAAATCTAAGCTAATTTTATTTTTTTATAAAATTTTATCTCATATGAAAGAACATGAATTTAGAATATTCGGAACTCATGACAGAAGAAGAGAACGAACAACATGTAAAAGATTATGCAAAATTTCTGAAGACATACAAAGCATTTAAACAATATCTAAATGCTTCTAAAGATTATGCAAAATTTCTGAAGGTATATAAAGCTTATGAAAAAGCGTATGAAAAGTTTATACATTGGGGAATTGTTGTAAAATATCGATATGAAGACTAACCAAAAATATATTTTTGCTTAAATAGCTTCAGGGTCTATTTCTTCAACCATTTCACTTCCTTCGTCAATGTCAATAGAAGCTTCTTCAACCTTTGGTAAGAATTTCTGTATAACATCTTTGTTCGTTATTGTCTTCAGAGATGAAGGATAATATTTCACAGATGTTTCACCCTTCTTATATTCTTTCTGTTCGGAAAGATTTAAAGCAATACTGAAGAAGTCAATGTTAGAGTTCTTTATGACAGTATAATGAGTATCTTTGACATTCACGAAGAAACTCTTTTGTTTCAAAACTACTGCTAACTCTTGTGAAGTATAACGTTTGCGGTCAATGACGATAGCTAATGGTCTGACATACTGACCAAACTTAGATTCTTTCACAAACTTCTTGTTAAAGATAACATTAACATTTGAAGCATTATTGAACTCATTCTTGATGGCAGTAGCGAGAGCATTGTATGAAAAGAACTTGCAATCTTGCATGTGTTTCATTAAAATAAAAATATTAAATTATTTTGAAAAATAACTTAAAAAAATCTAAGCTAATTTTTTCTAAGAAAATTTTTTATTTCCTACTAAAGATGTATCGGAAGTTGTCTAAGTTAGAACACTCGGAAATAAAACAACTTCTTACAGAAGCTAATATAGATGTTGCAAAGCATTACGCAACAAACAAAAAAGCACTCGCTGACTTCATTAAAGACTACAATGGTGCAATAAGTTATGATAGAATTCATGAGTTCATAAAGCCGCAACGCGGCGAGGACGAAGTCCATGCAAGAGCATTTCCTTTAAATGACGTTGCTATTGACTTATATCATAGACGTTCAGTACCTCATGAAGTAAGAAGAGAAATGTTTGACATAACAAATGCAAACGTTGGTGAAACAAGAAGAAGAGACGACACACTGAAACAACAGAGAAGAGAGATGTTTAAGAGCGCTATAGAACAAGTTCGCAAAGCTAACGATGTCATTCGTTCCATTGACGACAAACCAAAAGGAGGTGAGAGATGGTTAAAGAAAGATGAAGAGAATAGGAAGAGAAATGTGAAGTCAGGCAATAGACTCATTGACTTTAACATTGAAGCTTTAGATGAACCAAACAGAGACTACTTACACAAACATTTCGGTAAGGTTTTCATGAGACTCTTAGAGAAAATTAAAATAAACTCACAACAGAGATGGATGGTATGTTATAAACTTGGTGGAAAGTATGAATGTTCTACGTTAAACCTCAATAATATTGGAACATTACTACATCAGCTCTTGAAGGAGAACTTTATATCAGAGATAGAAGCAAATGCTGCAGGTATTGTTGAAATGCACTATGACTTCTTCTTGACAAACATAAAGAATCTTACCGAAATAAAGATGTATGATTTAACAGAATATGAAGGCTTAACGATGTCAGATGTAAAGAAAGGCAAACCAAAAAAGAGACCATATAGAGATGAAAGCACACTGACAAATGACCAGAAAGCCATTTTGGAAGCTCTTAAGCAAACAGGAAACCCAGCACTTATAGAAAGCTTTTGGAAGAAAAAACCAGAATTTTCGAAAAAGTGACACCAACTATTAAAGTTATTTTATTACTAGATTTATTTACAAATTATAAGATAATATCATTAACCGAATATATTTTTAATATAAATAAAAAACTTTTTTTATACAAAAAATTACAATCAATCGATAAATATTATAAAACATTTATTCCAAAAAGATTAAGTAATAGGTGGGATCCTGCATATAATATAATTTTATGTCATAAAGTTTACAAATTTTAGATGGACCACAGTGAGAATGTGAGTGGTTAATTTAAAGGTGGTCTGATAAAGATATCGAAGCTTACTCAACACAGCATGAAGCAGTTTCTAATACACAATCTTACTAGTGGTGTTTCGGTCGCCAGCGCTCTCATAGGGGTGCACCGAAATTCAATTGTTAATGATATCAATTCACAAATTGGAATCGAAGATCAGTATGAAATTTAAAATATAAATAAATTTTAATTATATTATTTTTAATTTTTTTAAATAAATATACATATATAAATACATGCATATATACATATATAAATATATACATATATAAATATATACATATATAAATATATACATATATAAATATACATATAAAATAAATATATAAATATACATATATAAATATACATATAAATATACATATATAAATATAACATATAAAATACATATATAATATAATATATAATATATATATAAATATACATATATAAATATACATATATAAATATACATATATAAATATACATATATAAATATACATATATAAATATACATATATAATATACATATATAAATATACATATATAAATATACATATATAAATATACATATATAAATATACATATATAATATACATATATAATATACATATATAAATATACATATATAAATATACATATATAAATATACATATATAAATATACATATATAATATACATATATAAATATACATATATAAATATACATATATAAATATACATATATAATATACATATATAAATATACATATATAAATATACATATATAAATATACATATATAAATATACATATATAAATATACATATATAAATATACATATATAAATATACATATATAAATATACATATATAAATATACATATATAAATATACATATATAAATATACATATATAAATATACATATATAAATATACATATATAAATATACATATATAAATATACATATATAAATATACATATATAAATATACATATATAAATATACATATATAAATATACATATATAAATATACATATATAAATATACATATATAAATATACATATATAAATATACATATATAAATATACATATATAAATATACATATATAAATATACATATATAAATATACATATATAAATATACATATATAAATATACATATATAAATATACATATATAAATATACATATATAAATATACATATATAAATATACATATATAATATACATATATATAAATATACATATATAAATATACATATATAAATATACATATATAAATATACATATATAAATATACATATATAAATATACATATATAAATATACATATAAATATATACATATATAAATATACATATATAAATATACATATATAAATATACATATATAAATATACATATATAAATATACATATATAAATATACATATATAAATATACATATATAAATATACATATATAAATATACATATATAAATATACATATATAAATATACATATATAAATATACATATATAAATATACATATATAATAACATATATAAATATACATATATAAATATACATATATAAATATACATATATAAATATACATATATAAATATACATATATAAATATACATATATAAATATACATATATAAATATACATATATAAATATACATATATAAATATACATATATAAATATACATATATAAATATACATATATAAATATACATATATAAATATACATATATAAATATACATATATAAATATACATATATAAATATACATATATAAATATACATATATAAATATACATATATAAATATACATATATAAATATACATATATAAATATACATATATAAATATACATATATAAATATACATATATAAATATACATATATAAATATACATATATAATATACATATATAAATATACATATATAAATATACATATATAAATATACATATATAAATATACATATATAAATATATACATATATAAATATACATATATAAATATACATATATAAATATACATATATAAATATACATATATAAATATACATATATAAATATACATATATAAATATACATATATAAATATACATATATAAATATACATATATAAATATACATATATAAATATACATATATAAATATACATATATAAATATACATATATAATATACATATATAAATATACATATATAAATATACATATATAAATATACATATATAAATATACATATATAAATATACATATATAAATATACATATATAAATATACATATATAAATATACATATATAAATATACATATATAAATATACATATATAAATATACATATATAAATATACATATATAAATATACATATATAAATATACATATATAAATATACATATATAAATATATAAATATACATAAAAAATATACATATATAATATACATATATAAATATACATATATAAATATACATATATAAATACATATATAATATACATATATAAATATACATATATAAATATACATATATAAATATACAATATAAATATACATATATAAATATACATATATAAATATACATATATAAATATACATATATAATATACATATATAAATATACATATATAAATATATATATAAATATACATATATAAATATACATATATAAATATACATATATAAATATACATAATATACATATATAATATACATATATAAATATACATATATAAATATACATATATAAATATACATATATAAATATACATATATAAATATACATATATAAATATATATATAAATATACATATATAAATATATTTATATATATATAATATATAAATATATTATATATATATAAATATATAAATAACAAAATACAATCAAAAAATAGTGTTTGGAAATTTAAGGTTAAGTGTCACTTTTTCGTAAATTCTACCACACTCCACACTGACAAATGACCAGAAAGCCATTTTGGAAGCTCTTAAGCAAACAGGAAACCCAGCACTTATAGAAAGCTTTTGGAAAGATAATGGTGAAAAGAAGTTTTATAAGAAGAGAAGCGGTCAGTTCTGGAAGTATCTTTGCACATTACCTATAAATCTTGAGCGCTACCAAATCTTCAATGAATTGAACAAAAGAACTGCAGCACTTATGACAGAAGACAATTGTTTCGTTTATGCTTGCATTCAGGCTGGAGTAGATGGAGAGACTATTGACCACATGAGAGAAGTCATTCGTGTTAGAGACTTTCCTCAAAGTAAAGTACAAGAAATTTCTGACGCAACAGGTATAGCATTTAATGTTACCATTGGTTATTTCAATGACTCAAGACATAATGAAATAAAGAGATACATACCAAAAGAATGTGAAACTGTTAGAACTATTGACTTACTTCTTGTTGAAGACCACTACATGCTAAATGAAAGATTACCAATGACAACATATTTCATTCGCAACTATATAGAAATTCTCAAAGCTTGTGGTGGAATGAACATTGAGAAACAAATGAAGATTTATACAAAGAGAGAAGATAAATATGTAGTTCGTTATGATAGAACAACACCGTTATGGGATGTTATGAAAACATTGTGGGAGTGCAAATATTTCGAACCTATTTCTTATGGAGAACTTTTCACATATACGACTGACTTATATAAACAGAACCTTGCACCATTTAAAGACTTGTCATATGCTCCAAAGTATTGTGTACAACTGAAGAAGAAAGCCGAGTCAAAAGAAGTAAATAAAAATAAGTGCAAGTTCATTCCTGAGCACGTTTTCTTTGCTGACTTTGAGTGCAGTACCGATGGCTTTCATAAAGCTTTTAACATATGTTATGACAGTGAAGATGGTTCAGTGAGTGAAAGCATTTGGGGTCAGAACTGTGCAACAGAATTTTTGGAACGACTTCCTGACAAAAGTTTAATATATTTCCATAACCTCAGTTATGATATAAACTTCATCTTAAGACACATGACAGAAGTGAAAGGAACTCCCATCATTAAAGGTTCACGAACAATGCAAATAACTGGCTTATATAAAGGAAGGGCAATTATTATAAAAGACTCTTACAGTGTTATAAATAAGAAACTTAAACTATTTCCTGCTATGTTTAACTTACAAACAGGACCGAAAGAAGTATTTCCATACAACTACTACAGCAGTGTTTTGTTAGCAAATGACAACAGAACTGGTGTCATTTCTGAAGCATGTAAGTTTATCCGGGATGCAGATACATTCATGAAAAACATAGATTCCATCAAAGGTTGCAGAATAGATGAAAACCATTTCGATTTAGAAAAATATAGCTCATTTTATTGCAAACAAGATGTAAGAATTTTAAGAGAAGGTTTTGTTAAGTTCCGCAATGACATATTGAAAGAATTTGATTTAAACGTTTATGACTACGTTAGTATTTGTTCTATTGCTAACAAATTGTTTGAGAACAGAGTGTACTTCCCGAATGGAAATTTATACGACCTTTCAAATAAACCAAGAGAATTTATTTCGAGATGCATTCAAGGTGGAAGATGTATGTTGTCAGATAACATGAAACAAAAGAGCGAAAAGAAACTCATTGCTGATTTCGACGCTGTTTCATTATATCCATCAGCTATAGCAAGACTTTATACTTTAGAAGGTATTCCAAAGGTTATGAAGAAAGAAATGTTAAGCACAGAGTATCTCATGAGACATTTATTCGATGACGACCAAAAGGAACCCATTGGTGAAAAGTTTATGTCTGGCTTCTTTGTTCTCATTAAGATAACAGAGATTGGAATACATAGAC